GAATTCCGGGTGTTTGACACACGAAGGCTGGCTGATGACGGCTGATAAACTAAAACTAACCATTCAGGTCTCCCACGACTTTATCGACATCCCATTATCTGCATATGCTGTCAGTCGGTGCGCATCTGTCTATAAGGGTTTTAGACTAGCTCCAAAGGTATAAAGAAACTAGCATGTCCTGTTACCTGATGGGTGAACGCTACTATAATAAATATTCCATATTACCGGTGTTTCTGCTAAGATACAGTGCGTAGGATTAAATGGATGGAAATAAAGACTTGACAATGGCGAAATTGCGTCTATTTTTTTTACCGTTTCTGGTCTGTTTATCGTTATTCAATTCCAGCTTGTTTGACTGCAGTTCTAGTTTTTTTTATGCATCCTTTTTAGACCCTCGATCATTGAACTTCTTGTCAGGCCAGTTTCAACCAGCAGTATATTTCCCTCATAATGAGAAGAGGCGTAGGAGTCGGTGCAATTAAAAGTAAATCGCTCGCTCAGTCGCGTTTCAAGGAAAAGAAAAATGAAATTGAGGAATTTGAAGCAGCAGTCTTGACGAGGCAGTGTGATGAATTGAAATCATCATTAGAGGAGTTTGCTTCCAAATACCAATCGAAGATTCGACATGACAAGCAGTTTAGAGCTCAGTTTCAGTCAATGTGTGCCAACATTGGCGTCGACCCTCTGGCATCGAGCAATGGATATTGGTCAAAGATCCTCGGAATTGGCGACTTTTATTACCATCTGGGTGTTCGTATTATTGAGGTAAGTTGGACTCGTCAAGATTCTCGTGGTGGATTTTCACTAATGTTTTATGCTTGGCTTGCAGGCCATTTTTTCTCGTAGATAGCACTGTCAGTCATGTAAGTCTAGGGGCTCAGACCTTCATTAGGCCAGTATGTTAATAGTTTTTAAACATTCGACCAGGATTGCAGTCCGGCGGTCTTGTTCAAGGTGGCCGTGTCTAGGTATGTCGTCCCCGCCAAATCGTTCATTATAGACAAGATCGTTCCATCTGTATTGCCTCAGATAGCAGTTTTCCATATGTTGACAGATTCACACCGGGTACCGCTGCCCGATTCCAGAGGCTCTCTACTAACCTGGAGTCTCTGTTTACTAGGTT